TTTTAAATGATTAAATGATAGTGTTTATCAATTGCAGAACAATTGCTATAATCGGAAGACTGCGACAACGAAAACCCTTACTCTGACACTTAAAATGGTTATGTCTTCTGTATCCAACACCGCTCAGGTATTTATCAGTCTTTTATTAATGAATATAAAACAACAAATGTGTTAATGCTGTTTTTAATCATGTAATCCACTGAAATGAAAGCCAAATATTTGTATTTTTTTTATTATATTATATTTTTGGTCACACTTTAGTTCAGGGACCAATTGTCACTATTAACTAACAATTAACTATGACTTTTGCTTTAATAAACTCTTAATTGGTTGTTTATTAATATGTGTTAGTTATTATAATAGTATAATAGTCAACCTAATAGTAAGGTTGTTAAGTTTAGGTATGGGGTGGATTAAGGAATCTAAAATATGGTCATGTAGAATAAGGCATTAATATGTGCTTTATAAGTACAAATAAACAGCCAAAATGCCAAAACTAGTTAATGGTGAGAACTGGTCCCTAAACTAAAGTGTTACCATATTTTTAACGTCTCAGTACCATCATTGGTTGGCATACTGTTATTTTACAAACTTGGGCTTGGGATTTTTCAAAATCCTGAGACCAAAACTTTAAACACCTTCTTTCTTGCCACACACATTAAAATTGGCACAGTCCTTCAGCCTGTTCTGATTTGGGTTGCTTTATAAAGGAGCATAAGGTCTTGTCGCTTAACAAGATTGTGCACTTGATTCAAGATGTCATTCAGATAGATTTAAATCTGTAATTATACAAATGTGTGATATATATCATGACTTCAAAATTTTAATACATTTTAATAAATTTTTTCTCATAATTTCCATGATTGTGTATGTGTTGCCTTTTTAGAAACAGAGGAACATTGCAGTGGCTCTTGCTTTCTGGATGGCCAACACATCTGAGCTCCTGAACTTCATCTGACGGGACAGAGATCTGTGTCCCATCACGCTCCAGACTCAAAATACTC